CCCAGCAGAGTTCTTACATGAGAACAAGTTATTTCTTAAAGTAAATGGTGTACTTTTGCTTCTAAAATACTTTGAACATAATACAAATTAGTTTGGGCTTTATTATTTAATGAACCATCAAAGATTTTTGAAAAGAAATTCTGAGTCAATATAATAGCAGCAGCACCTTGTAGAATATATTAGAAGGAGGAAAGATTTTAGGCTGTTAGATCAGTTAGGTGGCCTCAGTAATCTAGGCAGGAATTAGGACTAAACCAATGAGGAAGGAGGTAGGGATAAATATAGTACACATTTCAGAGGTCCCAGCTGACAGTTGAGTTGGGGGCAAAGGAGAAGTCCAGGGTAAACCTGGGTGACTGGGATATTGATGGGTGATATTGATAGAAACAGGAACAATAAGAGGAAGAGTGGATTTTGAATGATGATCACAAAGAAATGTATAGAGTGTAATAAATGGTGGGAGGTGAGTGTTTGAGAACTACTTCTAAAAGTAGTAATTTTCAAACTTTTTAATTGTATTGAGACATAATGTACATATGATAGATCTCTCCCCTTTTAGTGTATAGTTCTATGAATTTTGACAAGTGCACACCTTCATGTAAACAATACCACAGTTAATATAAGAACAGCTGTGTCACCCTAAAAATTCCCCTGTGCTCCTGTGTAGTCAACTCCTTCCCTCTCCCCCTTCTCCTGACAACCACTGAGCTCTTTTATATCACTCTAGTTAAAACTGTGTTTTAAAGAGTGCTAGGGACCACCACAAAGTAGGGTCAGGTGATCAAGAGGGTGAGCGCCAACTCCCCAGCCTTTGTCCTCATTTCATCTAGACGAGTTTTGCTTCTCTGTTTCTGTTTTATATATTGACATTTTACTTAACATTTGGAGTGGAGTGGAAAAATTACATAGCTAAACATTTGAGAGCTATTATTCTATATTGTTGCTGATAACACCTCTATGTGAGACGCCGTTTCTCTTACCTGGATCAGTGCAGTAGCCTCTGAGTAGTTTCTGGGCTTTGGCCTTTGCCCCCTACTGTCTCTTCTTAACTGAGCAGCATGATCCTTTTAATGTAGATTAGATCATGCTGTTCTTCTCAAAACCTTGTAATGACTCCCTATTTAGTAAGAGTAAAGGCAGGTCCTGAAAAGTGACCTAGAAGACCCTGCACTCTCTCTGGATACCTTATTAATTCGCCACCCTTCTCTCTTTCCACTCTCTTCTTGGCTCACTCTGTCTGTGCTAGTTACACTGACCTTCTTTCTGTTCCTCAAACAGGTCAGCCATGTGCTCACTTTAGGATTTTTGCTGTACCTTTTTTTTTAATTGAGGTGAAATTCACATAAAATAAAACTATTTTAAAGTTTACAATTTTGTGGCATTTAGAACATTCATGATGTGCAACCATCACTTCTATCCAGTTCCAAAACATTTTCATCATCCCTAAATGAGACCATGTATCCACTAGACAGTCACTCCCCATTTCTCCCCCCATTCTTTCTCTTCCCTCTCTCCTCCCCACTCCCCGTAACCACTTTGTGTCCTTCTGGCTTTTGCTTTCTGTCTCTAGGGATTTACCTATTCTGGGTATTTCATATAAATGAAATCATATAATATGTGAGTTTTATGTCTGACTTCTTTTACTTTGGCATAATCTTTTCAAAGTTCATCCACCTTGTAGTATGCATCAGTACTTCATTCCTTTTTATGGCCAAGTAATAGTCCATTGTGGATCTATCATATTTTGTTTATACATTCATTTGTTCATAAGATTTTGGGTTATTTCCACCTTTTGGCTATGGCGAAAGTACTGCTGTGAACATTTATGTACAATTATTTGTTTGAAAACTTATTTTCAATTCTTTTGGGTATATACCTAGCAGTGGAATTGCTGGGTCACATGATAATTCAATGTTTACCTTTTTGAGGAACCACCAAACTGTTTTCCATAATGGCTGAACCATTTTACATGCCTACCAGCACTTACTTTGGTGTTTACATCTTCATCTCCTTCAAGTTTTAATCAGACTCCACTTTCTTAATGAGGTCTACCCTGACCACCCGCTTTAACCCTGTAAGCTGCTCCCTCACCTCATCCTCCTTCTCCTGCCAGCCCTACTTTCATGTTTCCCTAATGTGGTCTCTTGTGCACATGCACAGTGTTTCATTATACTTAACTACCTCTCACCCATAGAAACTCTTACTCTTTCTTATTCTTCTCTAAATCATAGAACCTTCTCATCTCAACAGTCCATGAGACACCTGTCATTGCAAGGGTATGTGAAGTTATAGAAAAAGTAAATTTCGCATATTCGTTAAAACTTGGTGCACGGTGGTTGAGAATCCTGCTTTATCATGTGCTGAATTACAAGGTTGCAACTTCATGATTTGGAATTATTTTGTTGATTGGGTTTCCTTCAAAGGCTTCTCACAAGTATAGCAAATTATATATAATTTTCATACTTTAAAAATGTTAATTGTGTTTTTCATCCTAGCAGCATTAACCCATATGGGTGGCTATATTTTGAATTGGAATAGCATCCTAAAATGTGTTTTTGTTAAAGATGGTCAAGGAAGTCTCTTTTGCCTGTAACACAATGGAGTGTCAGGGGATGACTGTCTTCAAGCTGTTCCCTAAATCTCTCTGCAGTAAGGGAAAGAGCAAGAGAGTGCATTTTTAAAGAGATTTACTCACAGCCGACTCCACAGAACACTAAGACTAGGTACAATCTCATAAAACCTGAAGAGTTCAGGCTAGTGTCCAGGCTCGAGCATTCTGCTGTGTCCCTGTGCCCACCTTCAGATGTGGTTGGAGCAACAGGAGGAAGATTAGCTTTAACCTTCAGTTGATAACTTCCTTTTAAATAAGTTTCCTGGCATGAATGTCTTTGTTCTTAGAAGCTCAATGTTTGATTTGCTCATTTTCCTTTACGTTTTTTCCCCAATACTTTCTTTTTTTTTAAACTCAGGTTTAAGAAGCAATTGAGACCATTGTCTTTCCAAAAACGTTCAGTGCCCTTTTTGCCCATTTGCTGAGGGCATGGATACTCTCAGTAATGTGATGATGCTCATGGATTTTTTTGACAGGAAAGTTTTGAAATATTTCAGTTTCTGAAGTAAGAGATAAAAAAGTTTTGGTTGTGGTGTTTGAGTGTTCTTCCTGTTAGATCCAAGTCTCAAACTAAGACTTAAAAATAGTTAATGTGCTTTATGGAAAGGGAGCAGATTGATAGGAAAAAAGTTAAAGAAAATTCTCCACATTTTGGAAACAGAGAGCAAGGTCAAGGACTGAGTAATGCCTCCCCAGCTGGCAGTGCGGCCGAGGTTGTGGTCTGCTTCCGGGATAAGGCGAAACGGGAATTGATGGGCCCATTTCTTGAAGGATGTTTGTTGACACATTAGCAGGGTTGCCCCTGCCGTATTTGACAGAGTGAGCACTTAATCAGAAATAGAAGAAATCTGTCTTTATAATTTTTTTAAAAGTTCATTTCATGGTCTGAATATCTTTTTCATACTGTTTGAGTATCTAACTCTTAAAAAAAAAGCAATATGGAATGAGAGGTGATAGATAACAGACAGAATTAATCTGTTTTGTTCTCTTTCTTCCCGTAAATTCTTCATAATTTTGCCTTAGAATCTGTGCCCATTTCTGACTCTCCCACTAGAAAGCTCTCTGCGGACACAGATCAATTGATAATCCTCATCTCCTCCTGTAGCGCCTTCTGTGTAGAAGGCCCACACTAAGATCGAGGTTAACAGAAGTACCAGAAGCCATGGGAGCCAACTATATTCAGAGAGGTTCTTCTCTTCCTCATCACAAATCACTTGAGAAAATTAGTTCTTAGACTACAATAAAATCTCCTTAAGCACTTCAGTGATCATGATTCTAGGGTAATTTTATAGAAATTTGTCCTTTTTGTTTGTTGTTGTTTTTTGTCTGTAGGACAGACTGAAGTTTGAGTTGTTTGCATTTAGATGAGAAGAGTTACAGGAAACATGAAATGTGATGCAATGTGACTGTTTTTCTTGAGTGATTTCTCTATAACAGAAGCAGACTTTGGGAAGATTTGTTGCAAGATAGCTGTATACTAATAGGTAGAAACAGAAATGACTATGAAAACCAGATGTTTTGTCTGGGTTCTCTCTTCAGAAACAGGGTTTCAGTGTTGGCATATATCATTTTTCTCTTGTTTACCCACACTGATTAAAGGGCATTTATCTAGTGGTGTACACAATTGCTGTGTGCAGTACTCATTTGCATGCTCTGACCATCATGGTCGCTACACAACATGATATTTCTCTTGGCAATTTAAGTTTATTACTTCAGAAATTGTCATACTGGAAATCCAGGATGTGAGCAATATTTATTTTTATTTAAAATTACTAGGGGGATTTGTTAGACCATACCTAGTTTCCTGACATTGGCAAGAGGCTTTACAGAGTTTCCCCTAATTTTCGAGGACATATTTGTATTACACATACATCTTAACTTGTTATTATTGTAGGATTTTATTTGCTTTAATTTAGAAAATTCCAGACTTATTTTATTTTGTCTTTATAGGACTCTAAACTCTTCTCCTTTGAAAATATCCGAAAGATCTTATTTGTGATTCTGATCCTAGACTGATCTGGTTTGTTTTAGAACCTAAACCATTTAAATGAAGGGAAAGAAAGAATCAATGATATAGTTTTTTTTTTTTTTTTTTTTTAAAGATTTTATTTTTTCCTTTTTTTCCCCAAAGCCCCCCGGTACATAGTTGTGTATTCTTCGTTGTGGGTTCCTCTAGTTGTGGCATGTGGGACGCTGCCTCAGCGTGGTCTGACGAGCAGTGCCATGTCCGCGCCCAGGATTCGAACCGACGAAACACTGGGCCGCCTGCAGTGGAGCGCGCGAACTTAACCACTCGGCCACGGGGCCAGCCCCTCAATGATATAGTTTTAATTTTATTCTGTTTTAATATGGTGCTGTCTAACTGATGATGTGGTATGTTTTCCCACAGGTTCACATCCAGCTCTCAGAGTGGCACCGTGCAATTTTTCTCCCGCAGGCCTGGCTTGCATATATGAATCGAGCTTACCATGCCGTTTTACAGGTAATGAAGTCATAGGACGGTTTGCCCTAGGGGAGGGTCTCTTTCTTATCTCAAATTTTGCTGCAAATATGTATTTAATGTAAAAGCACTTGGGAAAATAGCACCGTCAAAAATGCAGTGGTTATTTTTGCTCATAAAAGAATGTGAGGAGTACATATATAACTGCCCTTGAACTTTAAATGTCGATGCCTCCATGTGTGTCCCGTCCACAGCTCCCCATTGAGTACTGCTCTCCTCTCTCCTGCTGCTTTCTGAACATCTTCCGGATGTCCCCTGTGGGTCGCCTAGCACCTCCACTTGAGCATGTCCCCACCTGAGCTCATGGTGTGCCCTTGCACCTGTGTCTCCTCAAGCTGGACTTGCGTATGTCTCCAGGCTTAGCTCATAACCCTTCCCGTGAATTTTGTGTCTCAGCCTTGCTGAATTTCTTTGTTTTCCAAACTCAGCATGTCTTCCCTAACCTCTTGACTTTTACACGCTGTTCCTTCTGTGGCAGGCACTGCCATTCCCTCTCTGCCCACCTTGTTCTACTTGTTCTTCAGATCCTTTAATCTGGGAAAGCACCTGTGTGCTCCCCTGCCCCCTGGATTGTATGCTCCTCTTATGCGCCTCCTTAGAACCCGTGCTTCCCCTTTTGAAGCACCTGTCCCCTTTGTTATTTGTCTGGGGCCTCCCTCCAGTCATCTCTGCTCCATAAAGCTAGGAGCTGTGTTTTCTTCTCTGTTGTCTCTCTAGAAACTGACATAGTGTCTGAGACATAATAGGTGCTAAATAAATGAATTATGCTCAATTTGACTTCATTTAATGCAATAAGATTGTAAGTTATAGTTTGTGAATTTTTAAAATTAGAAATAATTTTTAATCAGTTTGGGAATACATGAATAGTTAACAGTATAAGAAAACAACTAACTCAATCATTTTTCCTAGCTTAAAATTCACTTTTAAGGATGATAGAAAAAATCTGGTGGTTCTTCAGTAATATATGGCCCAGAGTAAGGATTTCATGGAGTCTCGGGAAATGTGGTATTATGGTTAAAGTTAACAACTGTCCTGAAGGACTGGGGGTAGGTGTGTAGAGGGAGGGGAGATGACTAAGTATCTGAGCCTGGGTGTTCTCAAATTAAAATCTTGCTGCAACATATTTTATTGAGTCTTGAATTTATAAAGTACCGACACATCTTCAGTACCTGATTAGGATTGAGTAGTGGACCAGGAATCTACATGTTTATCAAGCTGCCAGGTAATTTTAACGCACTTAGTCTATCAACCACACTGAGCAACAGTGGTTTAGATGGCTACCCAAACTACACTAGAATCCTCATTTTACAGATGTTCGCTTGGTTCCATTGTTTCCTTTGGCTCAGCTTACACACTTTTTATCCTCAGCTGCATCTGGGCACTCAGTTTTGAATAGATGCATGAGGGAATGGCTGCCTTACTGATGCACATCCTTAACCAATTCTAGTTTTTATGCAAGAAGAGTGAGATTGCAAATCAGAGTAGGCACTTTTTCTCACATTCATTTTTCCCAACGTAATTTTGTAGTGTTTTCCTTTACCAAACATTTATGGAGCACTTTTTACTGGCCAGGCTGTGTGCCAAGCACGTGGGATACAGAGGGGAATAAAGCCCTCCTTCCTCTCAACGAATTCCCAGTCCGGTGCGGGAGACTAATGTGTCTACTAGAAATCCCAGTACAACATCTTTGATGCTTTAATAGAGGATGTACAGAGTAGTATGGGCACCAGGAGAAGGGAAGAATAACTCCTCCTCCTGTGGAATAAGCTGAATTTTATTTAGCTCTGAGCATAAGGAAGGCTAAATTGAACAGGATTATGGTATAACTCATGCAGATGACTTGCAATTGACTAAAAAAACCCTCCATGTTGTTTTTTATAATGAGCTACCATTTATTGAATAACTGGTGTGTGTCCAATATTTAACGTATATTATTTCAATTAATCTTTATAGAAACCCTCCAAAGCAGGTGTTGTTAACCCCACGTATAATGGGATTCTAGTTGGGCAAGCAGGGTTAGATAGGAAAGCAAAGCAAATGGCGCAAAACCCTACAGGCAGTAAATGAAAGAATTGGAGCTTGACCCAGAGTTGTCTGACTCCAGAGCCTGTCTTTTCCACTGCCTCTTGCATTTTCTCTGATGCTGTCATTAGTTGTAACAAATAATGCAAATTGGTTTAATATTTCAAAGGACAGATCTATTTTTGAAAAGCCAGCTGAGTATTTTTAGTAATGCAGATCAAGTATTCTGCCTTTCTGCTGTTGTAGGTGATAGTGTGTATCTTTATTTATTTATTATTTAAAATCTCTTTACTTTGGATGTCTGATAAGTCCAGTTCCATTGAGAATTGGTGACAAAAGTATGGACTATAATAAGAAGATTCTCAGTATTATTTGAGAGTATAGCTTTGCTTTTTAGGCTATCACTATTATTTGAAAGTGCACTGATGCATTTTAAATATTCAACAAGTTTTTTAAATGAGTCCACACACTTAAATAGAATTTATGGTATCTTAGAAGAGTTAGGGCAACTGCCAGACTCCTCGTCTATATCAAGAATTTCTGTCCTGGAGGATACTGCTTCTGCATAGAAGTTATAATTACTTCCATCTGGTGCTAGACATATTTTGTAGCATTAAACTAGAGGATCATTTAGAGGAGCCATGTTTTATTCAATTAGGCCTAGGAGACACGCTAAAAGGTACATTCTACGTTATTTCCTGGAGGTTGATTATGATGTGAATAAGTTTGAGATCTGAACACTACTAGTGACTTTTGCATAGTCGTCTGCTTCCAGCCTTATCTAATTTTTCCACCAGATGTGGGATTTTGAATTATAAGCATATCAAAGTGGTTGACATGGGAAGGTATTTGGATTTCTTCCCATTAAGATGAAAAATGCAGATACAAGTTGATTGACAGTTCAGAGTCCATTTTGGTAAGGAGCCCTCTACAGCTGGCTTTACCTTTGGCCCTTGTGGGATGCTGAGGAGGGTAAGGTCTCCAGCTTTTGTGTAAAGGGCTCTTAGGGATTGTGAATGTGACCTCAAACAGGAGAGAGGAATTAAAGCAGGTTGACTGCAGATGCTTGTTTCCTGAGTTGGTAAGCTAAGTTTCAAAATAATCTGAAATAAAAACCAGGGTCAGGAACTGTGACCCCTAGTAAATTACTCTCTGACCATTTGTAAGGGTTGTTTGCTTGTTTGTTGTAATGTGTAGGTTTGGAGCTAGGTGAAATTGCTCACTATAATCAGTATGTCCTTGCTTGCATAGGCTAGAGATAGGAAAAAGTAAGAGGGTAGATAGATTAATAACTGGAATCTAGAGGCAATCCAAAAATCTCAATTCAGGTGATCATTTCAGCCTTCTATCACCCAGTGAATGCTTCCTCCCTTAACCACAGCTGTTAATCAGAAGCAGAGGTGACTGAGTTGAATGTCACTGATCTCTATCACCAATAGGTGGAGAATTGGACAGCAAAGATTTGGATCTGACTAAATAGCCTAACATGGACTGGGTGAAAGGAGTTAGAGAGACATTCCAGGAGAAGGGATTGAGAGGAACAGAGACTCTGAGAAAGAAAAAATAAGAAATTTACTTAGTTACAGGGCCAGCCCCATGGCCAAGTGGTTAAATTTGTGTGCTCTGCTTCGGCAGCCCAGGGTTTCACCAGTTCAGATCCTGGGTGCAGACATGGCATGCTCATCAAGCCAGGATGTGGCAGTGACCCACATACAAAATAGAGGACGATTGGCACAGATGTTAGCTCAGGACTAATCTTCCTCAAGAAAAAAGAGGAAGGTTGGCAATAGATGTTAGCTCAGGGTGACTCTTCCTCAGCCAAAAAACCCCCAAAAAACAAGAAACCCGATTGTACTGGTTTATGGCTACAGGAGAGACTGGGAAAGTAGGCTTTCTCAAGAGGCTGCATATAGACTAGCTTGTGTTGTGTTTATTTCTGAGCAGATTTTAACCTTTTAATTTCCTGTTTCTTTTTTGGAAAAGCATTATGGAAAGTAAGTATTTTAGGGGTAAAGAAGCATCATTTAAGAAGCGTAATGAACAGGGCCAGGCAATACAAATATTTTCTTTTTTGCCTACCCTCTGGGAGGCCAATATCAATATTAAATATTAATATATCTTGCCAATTTGATCACCTCTGATACATTGCTCCAAAAGACAAAGGAGAGAATAGAAGGGCCAGGATTCTGTCTTTGAAAACATGGAGATAGGATGATATGATTGAAGTAAACAGAAACTATGAAGGATGTGAATAGAATGCCCATCAAATCTCAGAGTGCCTGAACGTGAGCCCCAGGGCATTGTGTGCTGGAAGTTGTGCTAAATACCGGGACTCCTTAGACTGATAAACCAGTCCTTGGCTTCAGTGAGCTCACAGGCTAGTACCTGAGGGTGTATGAGAGAAATACAAGGACATGCAACTGTAGAGTCTGGATATTACATTTTTAGGAACCTTTTACTCTGTGAGAGTATACAGATTAAAACATGAATTATTTCAAGAAGGATTTAGATAATATTCATGAAAGATCATTACATAAGAAGATAAAAGGGGAGGTGGGATTTTTTGCTGTTATTGACAACAATGTGGTAATGGTAGCTATTATATATCAGGCACTAGACTAAACAGACACTTTTTCACATTATTTAATATGATGCTCTAATACCATAAGATAGTTGTTAGCTATGTTTTAGAAATGAGGAAACTGAAGCTTAGAGAGATGAAGTAACTTGCCCAAATTTACACAGCAAGTAAGTGGAAATGGCATTAGATCAAGCGTTCTGATTCCAGAGCCTACATCCTTAACCTGTCAAGCCACAGTGCTTCCCTCTCTAGAGGATATAGAGAGAGATAACTTTTGCTCTTCTTTCTACCTTAGAACTCCAAAATCAATAAGGAAAAGACAATAGAAAAATGGACAGAATAGGAAATCCAAAAGTCAATAAACATTGGAAAAGATGCTCAATCTCATTGATAAACAGTGGAATGAAAATTAAAACCGTAATGAACACCATTTCACACCTGCCAGAATGGTAAAAATGAAAAGCCTAACAATTTTAAATGTTGGTGAAGATATGAAGTAACTAGAACTCTTATTCACTGCTAGTGAGAATGTAAGCTGCACAACCACTTGTGAAAATGGTGTGGTATTACTGAGTAATACAGTATGCAGTCTAAGTTCTTGTCCAACTTAGAGTGCATCAGTAAACCAGTATTTTAATTACATTTTCGTAATGTAATTGGTGATGGACTAGAAGGGAAAGCATCTGATCAAAATAATCCTGAGTGTAAAAAAATAGAAAGGATAATAAATATTTGAAGGCCTTGGTCTTAAAGGGATGCTATTAGCTATATTTATTACATGGTAGAAGTTAAAAATTATCATGTTTCTTTTTATAAGTTCACTCAAAAAATAGAAATGTAATGTGCAGCTATTTGAGAGTAACTTTTATTATATATTACCTGAATCTTAAGAGTTATATACGTATCCTTGTCTTCTACCATTCTGTTATAAAACTGGTGCTCAGACTCCAATCTTGCTAGAGCATCAGTTGAATTTATCAGCTGCTGACACAGGCACATCATTACTATATAGGGGATTTTTTGAATGGGACCTATGAAATTCAAATCTGCTTTTAATAGATATCTCAAAATGAAGTGCTCTGCACTAAATTTGCCAAACATACAACTTCTCCAGGGTATACATCTTTGGTGAATGTAGAAATACCAGAGCAGTGATGTAATTATCATTCCTCACACATCCTCCTTCATAATCTAATATCGGGAACATTTATGGCCAATTCGGAAAGGAGGCATCTGTTATCTAAGTGTTTTCCAAAGAAATTTCTAGATAATTTCACCCATAGAGGTTGCATGCTGACCCGTGCTGTGGTTTTTGCAGGGAAGAATAGCAGAGCTGGAGTTGCAGCTAAAACATGGAAAAGAAGGACCTGAGGAGGTGCAATACAAGAAAAGCACAGCCTGGCTCTGGTGAGGACGTGGCGCTTCTGCTCAGTGTTTATCATGGGAAGCGGACTATGAGGGAGAAGGTGGCCACCTTAATGGCTTCCATGTTGAGGATTTTAACTCCTATGTGAGCCTGAAGGGGAAAAGTCTGAAGATCTAAGTGTGTTTTCCATCCTCTTCCCAGATAAAAGGACAGCTTTATTCATCAATTTTATGTATTTTTTATTGTTTCCTAAAGCAATGTGGAAATGGTTTTTTTTCCCTCGTATAGCTGATTATTTTATATACTTTTGAATGAAAAATTCTGTTTTTCCCACTCAGTTCCTTGCCTTCCTAACTTACGTTGTCCAGGAATGCCCTTCCACTCCCCTGCTCCCTCTCCCCAACACATCTCCGTTATTAGGAACAACTTTACCATGTCAGCCCTTTAATTTCTTTGGCAGACACCCGCTAGTGAATTCCCACTATATTATCTGGAAATGTGTAAGTGCTGGCACATTAAAAGCGATTTAAATTGTTACATGGGTTGGGATGAACACCTTGTCAGACTAGCATCGCAGCAGCCTAAATCTAAGTAAAGTGCTCAGAATTTAAATAGCTTTGCCTGCAGCCACAGGTTTCTTTAATCTAAAAATCTGTTCAAAGGTTACGTGATTTTAGATTTTTATTTACTGACAGTTGGCATATGTAGAGAAGCAGAAGCTGTGTGTGTGTGTTTAACTAATTCTATTCTGTTACAGTTTCTAAATTTATTTTAAAAATAGCAATGTAGTTTAAAACGTTATGACATTGGATTTCAGATTAGACATGAAGAATTTGGATTTTGCTTCCTATTTGCTACTATCCTTTACATGTAGTTTTAATTTTATCTTCTGAAAGTGATAATCTGGTGGGGGTGGTACGTTGGCTATACTCCCCAAAATATATAGGCAGATGCATGGAATAAAGGTTATGAGAAAAAGATGGAAGTCAAGGATAACTCCAAGATTTTGACTCTGAATAACTAAAAGTACAGAGTTCCCATTTATTAAGATGGGGAACACTATAGAAAAGCAGATCTCTGTAGGGTAGAAATCAGGTTTGGGACTTGCTAAACCTGAGATATCTAATTAGATCTCCAGTTGGAGATATCAAGTAGGTTGTTGACTGTATGAGTCCAGAGTTCAGGGCTGGAAATAGAAATTTGGGAATCCTCAGCATATTGACTGAATTTAACATCAAGATGCTGGATGAAATCACCTAGGGAGTGAGTGAAGATACAGTAAAGGTCAGAGGACTGAGCCCCAGAGCACTTCAACATTTAGAAGTGGGGAAGATGAGGAGGGAACCAGTAAAGCTCACAGAAAATCAGTGATCAGTGATGTAGGAAGAAAACCAAGAGAGAATGGAATCTTTAAAGCCGATGGAAGAAAGTGTTTCAATAAAGGAGCAACCAATTATGTCAAATGCTGCTGTGAGGCTGCAAAAGATGGTGACTGAGAATGGGGAATTAAATTTGGCCTCTTGAAAGTCATTGGTGACCATGACAGGAGCTGTTTTGTTGGAGTTCTGGGGACAAAAGCCAGATCTAAAAGGATCTGGAGAGAGTGGAAAGAGATGAACCAGAGTCATCAAGTGTAGACTACTCTTTTAAATGAGTTCTGATGTGCAAGGAGCAGCCAAATGGGGCAATAGCTGGAGGGCTTTTTCTTCTTTTTTTTTTTTTTGTGAGGAACGTCGACCCTGTGCTTGCTCGCGCGCACGCTCTCTCTCTCTCTTTTTGGCTTGAGGAAGATTGTCACTGAGCTAAATCTGTGCCAGTCTTCCTCTATTTTATGTGGAATTCCTGCCACAGTGTGGCATGATGAGCAATGCTAGGTCCATGCCTGGGATCCAAACCTGTGAACCCCGGGCCACCAAAGCCAAGTGCGCGAACTTCACTGCTATCCCACCGGGCTGGTCCCATGGAGGGCTTTTTCTTCTTTTCAGTTGGTAGATATTACAGTGTGTTCCCACGCTAAGGGGAGTAGTAGAAGTAGAGAAGGAAAAATTGGTGATGCAGCAAAGAGAAGGGAGGAGATAAGGAAGGGAACTAGTCTACAAGTGGAAAGTTTGGCCATGTGTAGAGGTACAGGCAGTTCACCATTTGTAAATATTTCATACTGACCAATAAAAGAATACATTGAATGCACTATACTCCACTTAGGAAGACTGAGATTGGACAATACATTTTAGAGAAATTTATTGTCAAATGGTTTTATAAAATACAAGTTTAAGGTCTGTAGGAGAAGTTTACAGCTATCCGAAAACCTGACTTTTAAGAATGACTCATTCTCAGGGAGTGCTGTATAGCTCAGATCTTCTTATATTACAAATGAAAATATTTATGAATGCAAATAAAATTTATATTTGCAAAAGTTTTATAATACTTATGAAAACTTTGAATTTATGAAACTCAAAGTATATAGTGAAAATGGCTATGATATCATCTTCAAAACGTAAATTTGGCAGTCCCTGATTGTTTTTCACTGTATCTCAAGGGTCTCATGTTGAATTTTTTTTTTTTTTTTTTTTTTTTTTTTTTTGCTGAGGAAGATTCGCCTTGATCTAACATCTGTGCCAGTAGTCTTCCTCTATTTTGTATGTGGGTCACCACCACAGCATGGCCGCTGACGAGTGGTGTGAGTCTGTGCCCTGGAACTGAACCCTGGGCCACTGAATCAGAGCGTGCCGAACTTAACCACTAGGCCACAGGGCCGGCCCTGAAAAAATTTTTTTTATTCTGTAAATATTTAAATTGAGTATACCTTCCTTCAAAGCTGTAAATTTAATTGCTTTCTTTTAGCCTCAGAATGATTTTATAGCCAACATTTAAAATTTTATTTTATATATGTATATAGTGACTATTCTATTACCTACCATTTGGAAATAGTAAATCGTTGTTTTGCTGAGCTCTTGTGCAAAACCGAGAGAGTGTCTCAGTCCGTTCAGGCTGTTATAGCAAAATTACCATAGACCGAGTGGCTTAAGCAATAGAGAAATTGCTTACAGTTCTGGAGGCTGGGAAATCCAAGATCAGGGTGCCTGCAGATCTGGTGCGGGCCTGCTACCTGGTTTGCAAATGGCTGCCTTCTCCTTGTGTCTTCACGTGGTGGAGAGCAGAGAGGGAGAGAGAGCAAGCTCCCTGGTGCCTCTTCTTATAAGGGCACTAGTCCCATTCATGTGGGCTCCACGCTCACCACCTCCCAGAGGCCCCATCTCTAAGTATGATACATCGGGAGTTAAGATTTCATCGTATGAATCTTGGGGAGACACAAACATTCAGTCCACAGCAGAGAAACAGTATAAAGGGCACTTGTATACCCACTGCTCAGTTTAAGAGATGATGCTATTGCAGCACTGCCTGTGCATCCCTTGTTAGTTACATCCACCTTCTTCCCCGCGTCCACGAAGTCATCTCAGGAATAGGAAGATGAAACTCTCTTTGAAGTAAAGCCCTTCTTACAGTTCTTTCACCTTACACTAAAATTCTACATATACAGTTTTAAGATCTGGAGTCATTGCCAGAGGTTCTTATTAACTGATGAATAAGCAAAAAGGTTGTGTTCTTGCTCTAACGTGGACTGTCACACGTCTTTGTTGCAGGGTGCGAGACATGTTGACTGAGGAGATCACCAAGTCAGCTGCAAAGTAAGATCCATTTTTTTCTCTTACTAAAAATTTTCTATAAACATTTTTTTCCTGGCAGGTACACAATCTTTCTCCTTTTAGGGTATTTCATAACTTTAAGAATTTTAAAGGACTTTCCAATTATTTTTTAAAAAATCAGTTGCTGTCCTTTCTTGTATTGTTAGTTCTTACTACATGTCTTTTTGTGAAAAATACAAAAGCACCAATGCAAACAGAACTTTTACATCAAGAGTCTCTGAGGGTGTATCCTTCTTGTGTACCTAACAAAGTGCCCCGTGCTTAGACTTAGATTTAAAGGATTCTTTTTTGAAGAAGAAGAAGAAGATTAGCCCTGAGCTAACTGCTGCCAATCCTCCTCCTTTTGCTGAGGAAGACTGGCTCTGAGCTAACATCCGTGCCCATCTTCCTCTACTTTCTATGTGGGATGCCTACCACAGCATGCCGTGCCAAGCGGTGCCATGTCCCCACCCGGGATCTGAACCAGCGAACCCTGGGCCCCTGAAGCGCGGCGTGTGAACTTACCCACTGCGCCACCAGGCCGGCCCCGATTTAAAGGATTCTAGTTTAGTTTGGGGGAGGAAATCCTTGCTAATGTGAATTATATGGGTTCTACAAATAGATTATTAAATCTCATCTATGAGCTAGCAAATAAATCAAAGTAGTGCTTCGTTTCTTTCCCTTTGTGTTATTGGATCCAGGATATCTAAAAATTGAATTTTTAAATACTAAAAACTAACATGAAGACCCGGTAAAAAGACAATTTCAGTCATATCCTTATGATTGTTTTAATAAAAATAACTTGAGTATTACTACCTTGAAACTTTTATTTATCTTAAGTCAGCTCTCACTAAGAAAATTATACCCTAATGAACTTGCTTGAACAGTCTCTTCAGATTCCTTTGTTAATGAGCTGACTAATTGTTCCTGGCAGTAGGTTCATTTCAGTTATGCACACTTCTCTGTTCCACCATCGCTTTTAGCTGCTGCCCCATCTGTTTGCCTTCCTTGATCTTCTTATCTGCCAAATAACATAGATATATCGTCCACCTAGAAGATTTCATGTGTATTGAAAGTCCATATTATCTAGAAATATTTAATGGCAGTATAGTTTATCCCTATCACGTCCCGGAACATTCTGTAGCTAAATAGGTTTTGCCTTAAAAAAAGAAAACGTGATCTACCTTAGAGTCAGCTTTCCACCAGTGATGTCTTAAACGGGGACTTAACCGTCAAGTCTGATCTCGGTACAGGGCACTCCTCAGCCTCAGGGCTTCTGAATAAGGGGAAATAGAAGTGGTAACCCTCCCCTACACTCAGTTCTGTGGGAGGCGCTGGGAAATATCTGTTGACATATCTGTTGACAAAATGAACACTAAAGTGCAGAGGCTTCGATAGGGCCTCATTTGGGTCTGCTTATCTAGTTTGGTGAATTGCAGACACAGTGGGAGAGCGTCCTGGGATAAGGGGGCTGCCTTTGACCTTTACCTTTCACGGTTTGTTCTATTATGTAGTCTACATATATCCTGTTAAAAACAGGCCTCTGACATTTGCAGCAAAAAGCTTGAATGCTGAGGAAACCAGCAGCTTTCTATTAAAACAAACTATAATTTTGCCTCTCTAGTAGCTTTTGCATTTTCCATTCTAAAATTTTATTTCAACAAGACTTTAATCTTCAGATTTGCAGAGCGTCGTTTCATGACTGATACCTAAGAAGAGTGTGTTCACATTCTCAGTGGTACGGAGTAAAAATAATTCATGTTCTCATGGTGTTACCTTTTCATCAAAAATTTCAAAGCACTTTATAGACCTTATCTTATTAAAGCATGCCTGGCAGTACTAGGCACGACAGCAAGTGAATAGGAGATAGTTAAGGTCCAGAGGCTGGGAGTAATGATCAAGCAGGGGAAAAAATCACTCTGCTGCCCTCTCTTAATTTTGTCCCCCTGGCTTCCTCCGACCATGAGAGTACCCCACCAGCACCTCCTGCCAGCTTGGCTTTCTGTTCCTTGGACCATGGGCTGCCACGGGCTGATTTGGGCTAGTGGAGGACTTATTTTGTTCTGAGCTGCGAGTTAAATGCAGGAAGTAAAACCCCAGTCACAGGATTAGACTGATTTGCTCGTTTGAGAGCATTTCTAAAGCATCAGGGATGGGGAGAATCAGAACACAGGTAAAACCTGATGATTGATGTAAGTTTATTTTCATTGTTATTAATTAAATAGATTTGAACCTGAAGATAAAAATCCCCAAAGGATTGGGTCACTTTACTAATATGTAAGGTAACACTTTGTCCGTAAGAAAGCATCAGTGTAGCTCATCCTTCCTTGTGCTTTTTAATTAGGTTAATGGCATCAGTTTGTTTCAAAAGACAATTTAATTAAAATGTCAGTGGTGGTGCCTGGATAAATACTGTACTGATGCTGACATGTTATTATGCAAATTAGTTACTGCTGCTGGACTGCTAGGGGATAGTTATTTGATCAAGAAGGTGATGAGTGTTTGCTGAACCAGTTGTAGATTTTCACCTGGCCAGTTCCTCCTCAAATTTGTTTCACTGAATATATATTGAGTGTCTTCTCTCCGTAAGTCACTGTGCTAGGCGTGAAGGGAATGCAAAGATGATCAAGAGCTGGTCACGGTACCTTTGTGAATTGTGTAGCTTGGCCTAAGCATGCATTGTGTGGACTGTGGACCAGTTTTTTCTGTTCAAAGATTAATTTCAAATATGTGTTTAGTCTGCAACCAAAGGTCTAATTACCTGTGGCTGTAAATACATATTTCTCCATTTTACAAGAGCAATACATGCTCAGGAATGTCAAGGCCAGTGAAACTTTTGAAATAAAATCATTTTGGGCACTGTTTTAAAACTGAGGCTAAATTCTCTTTCAGAATTCCAGGCTTAGAAAGATACTTTTTATGTCATTTAATATAACATCTTTGTTTTAAAAGCTTTGATAGCCAGTTTCTGGTGACCATCTAACTTTTTCTACAGGGTGATAAAAACTGAGGATGTAATTCTCAGATCACTGAGAATTTAAAACTATTTTTTGTTTAGCTTTAGGGATTCATGACCATTTTGTAGCAGGATAAAGAGATAATATTAGAAATAAAAGATTTAATTTTGGTTTTGTTAAATGATTTCATGGCTAAGGCACCTAGGAATGCCCAGGTCTTGCCTTGTTTTCTGCTGTATTATTATTAGATATATGAGTTCCCAGTAATCCTCACTGAAAAACCTAAGTTGAAGCCATTTGCTTAAACCTCAAGACTTCCTTCCTCCTTTCTCTCCCCACCCCATCCCCTAATATAAATGTTGTTGTCTTATCAACTTATGGCAGGCCTCATAGATGAATGAATTAAGGAGGAGTGAACAAAATGACCGAGTGTGCAGAGTAAGCCTTCACTGAGCTTAACCACCCCAAGGTGGGAGAGAGAGAAGGAAGGAGGGAATGGATGAATAGATAGATGGCAAAAAGGAAGCAAAAATGCTGGAACACATGTGTATACTAACCTTTTAATACCCGCTAACTCACATGTTCAGTCATGACGATGGGCTGGCACTGGAGGTACCAGGCTTGCACGGGACCAGGGCTGGAAGCCTTCCTCATCCTACATATCTGTTCTATTCCTGCTCTGAGGTGAGCAGGGGTGTCTCTTGGGTGTATACACTGATTCAGGTCCACGTCTCAAGTCCAGGTGTTGGGAAACCTTCTCTATATTTATGGGAACTCACAATTATAGGACTAACTGAGAACTGGACTATCGATGGTGTATGAGTGCTCTGTTCTGAATTCTGTTACGACAGAGTTGACAAGCCAAGAGCATCTCATCGGTGTCCCACCTGGGATTTATTCTATAGGATCACCTTGGAATTATGGAATAATGCTAAATGTACATTTTTGAAGGGTAAATATATTAAAAAGGTGCAGTTTTCTTGGTACTAAATTCAGAAGTTATACTTAAGATTTTATTGCTAACATTAGAAAACTGCCATTTGAATGACATAAAAGGGCAACTCTCAATCCAAATAGTCTAAAAACAGGCCTTTTTTTGATCTTATCTAGGGTCTCTAAATTATATTACAAACTGACTTTAAGGTTGCTGGCTTTGACATATTGAATGAAAGAAGGGGAGGATAATGATGACTGAGGAAAGCTGCCAGTGTGTCAAGTTGCTAGTAAAGTATGCTGTCTGAAGCAGTTTGCTAGAAGCTGGTTCCACATACCAGAGCTTTAGAAAAGCCAGAGGCTATTCCGTTCTGCTGGCCTTATTCACATAACTGTCCTTGGTTATGTTTTCAGAACAAATCGATAAAGTTAAATTGGCCTAAGATGACACAGAAGAAAATAGCTTAGGAAATGTAATGTCAAATGATGAAATAAAAATTTTAGGAAGAAAGAACTTAGATATATCAGCTTGAGTTTTTAAGTGGCTAAAAAGCATAATGACCATGCATTTATAAGAAGAGTTAAAAATCAGCACTAGTGTCAGAGGAAGGAAGCTGCTGGCATCAGGGAACAGACAGACCTGCATTTACGAGGCTCTGTGAAGGAATAAAAGTGCTTTTTGACTTTATCTGCCCTCCCTATAATAGCACCTTCTCGTCTCCTGGTTAATACGCCCAAAATCCTCTTGGAATTTTTTTTTCTTTTTAAACAGGGAGAGCCCAGTGGTCAAAGGCAACGCGTTGTTAGCCTTAAGCAGTCTTGCTGTCGTTGTGTCCAGACACGAAGCCAGCCTCTCTTCAGACTCTGAGGAAGTCCTGGAGGTGAGTTAAGGGTGATTTGGACCAGTTGGGCTTTGGTGGTGTAACATTGGAAAAATGAGAAGCCTGGCCCTGAGTTTGTGAGGTTAGAGTCTGTGATGGCCGCACCAAGTTATGCTACCTGTGGGCCCTGCCGCTGCGAGCCTCAGTGTCTTCTAAGACACTTTTCTTTGCTGCTTTTCTGTTTTGCTTTCTCCGTCACAATTAAGTGGTCATTTCCATTTGAAGGTACCAATTTTATGCAACAGGGGTTGTCTTTTTGATTACATCAGTGGTGACCAATCTTAGGAGGTTAACTAGGCTTACTGAAAGTGAACAATGCTGTCAAAAAATGATAAATAAGCAGTGTTTACTGACTGAAAAAAATTGTACTTTGCATTTTAATTGTAGATGTCAATGACAAAGTGCCTATTCATTTTTGCAAAGCATTTATTTCTTAATTAAACATGTGGCGAGCTGGCCAACGTTCATTTCCAGTGCTCTTTTTCAGATAATACGTATCCATCAAAATAAAAAGGCATGGATTTATTCTTCTTTTAAGCCCCATTACCTAGTAGCTAGTATCTGGAGACCATATAGCTGAGTGGTTAAAAAACATAGACTTTGGAGTAGGAGAGTCCTGTATTTAAATCCTAATACTTGCACTTACTAGCTCTACGGCCTATCGTTGGTAACTTTCCTTTTCAGAGCCTATACCCCATCTGTAAAATGGGGATGATAATACCAGACAGGAGTGTTGTAAGGATTGAATGAGTTAATGTATGTAAAGCGCAATGGCTGGTAGATGCTGATGCTAAGCACTCAGGAATAGTAACCGTTATCATCAGCATCAGCATCTACGTTAACACTTCTTGTTGCAAAAATTGGACTTTATTCGATGTTATTTAGCCCATCTCTGTCCCCACAGAGTGTCTTATGGGCTGTCTGTTCACTTTTTTCATGGTGGGGTTTTTTGCTTGCTTGCAAAGAAACTGACTTATTTAAATAAAAAAGGAACTAGAAGAATAGGGAATTTGGAAGCCCATGGAATTGAAGGAAAAGCTTAAAAACTGGGTTGAGGGGAAGAAGAAGAACGAAGGCAACTTGAGGAGTCCAGGCACAGGTACTGGTGAGCCATCTCGGCAGACCACTCCCACTGGGATGGATCAGCTGTGGTCATTTACTGTCTTTGCATCGCTCACTTAAGATTCGGAGTCCCACGGGTCCCATGCCCACACCTTGAGCAGGGTAGGATGGGTAGCTTGATTAAGCATTTCACCAAGCTTCAAATCATGGAGGAGGGAATTCTCCAAAGGGTGCTATTACCAGTAAACAAGAGAATAGATGCCGTGGGGCAAAAGCTACAAGTATGTGTTACACGTGGGGAAGGGAAAGAGGCCAAGGGGTTATTGCGTAAAGGATAAAAAGGTAGTTAGTTACTGTATGAAAATTTAAATTTAAACCCTGAATCTTATTGTAATGATGAAAAAGATGAAAAATTTTAGAGAGGAAATGTTTCATACCCTTGAAAGAACCCTGGAATACTTCAGCAGAGGCAACATGCTAAGCAGATCTACAACCTAAAATGTTAATGCACCCTTCTGGGATGCCTTCATTTTGGTGTTATTTATGTCACACTACCAGTTGTACAGGTAATTTGTCCCAGTAATAAGCGGTGGTCTAGCTCAGAGTTTGAGTTCCAGGCTTTCTTATTCTTTATTCCCCTGCCCTTTTCTTCTGCACTGTGACACATAGTACACAAAACATTGAGAAGCCCACAACCCAGAGGTGGGGCTTTGCTTTTATTCTTGATGACCTTGCCCTTGGTTGTTACTCAGTAGAAACTCAAGACCTCATTATTTGATTAAAGTTGAAGTTTTCAAGCTTCATTCTAAGTCTGCATATGACCTACAATTACAGATCTTAAGAAGAAGGCCTTCTTTGATTCAAGGAATTAATTCCAAGGAGATACTCAACACTGCATTGACCTTTATAGTCTGTGCCACCTGAGTGTTAACGTGCGCATTAATGAATGCTTTTGACATCCATGGTCACAAATGATTTTTAAAACCAAGTTCTCTTTTTAATGAGTTGGGTTTTGTTTTGTTTTTTTGCATTCTCTTTCCTCTTCTTTTCCCAAATGAAGATCATTTATATTTTCATACCTAATTAACTAGGCAAATGTGATGATTCTTGAATGATAAATATATGGTGAGAGTAAGCAGAAATGCTAGAGATGGTGAGCAAAATTTTGTAGGCTGCTATATCGCCTCCTTTGTGAAATGGCAAGTCATAGAAATGACAAATTTTGAGTTGCTTTCTCTGCACATCTCTCCCTTCGCCCTTCACATTATCCTCGCTGAACACAGGAGAACTCTGAAGCGTTCTCAGATACGTTCTGTTTTGCAGCCCTCATCCTCTCCCCTCTGCTGAGTCTTGTGTAAAAGGTAAATCTTATTCCTACACAGGTGAAGATGTATATTTGTCATATACCTATCCATCTCATGCAATCTGGCAGATGAAGTTTCCTCTTTTTTTCTTTGGTGAGAAAGATTAGCCCTGAGCTAGCATCCACTGCCAATCCTCCTCTTTTTGCTGAGGAAGATTGGCCCTGAGCTAACATCTGTGCCCATCTTCCTCTATTTTATATGTGGGCTGCTGCCACAGGATGGCTTGATAAGCAATGTGTATGTCTACACCGGGGATCCGAATCTGTGAACCCTGAGCCGCTGAAGTGGAGGGCGCAAACTTAACCGCTGCGCCACTGCACAAGCCCGTGAAGTTTACTTTTTGAAATAGCACTTCACTCTTTGATATGGAAGGGGGTTGTACCTTGGGTCTAGAAGTAATATTTAGATTTATTTCCTTTGTTCCATTATTCTTGCATGTTTTTCTTCATCTGCAGGTTCAACCTAATTTCCTTCCAATGAAAGAGTGGGTTTTCATGGTCTTTGATACCCTCCTGGTCATTGTGGATAGCCATTACCAACCCAGAGGACGACTTTTCTCCTGGTTTTATTATGTAAGTCTGAGAAATAAAGAATTTCAGAAAATCCAAGGGTTGACTCTTCTCGTGTCAATTGTTTACTTGAAATCCATGATAGAGTATGATGATGCTCAGGCTTAGCTGTACGTTAGAATCACCTGGGAACCTTTAAAAACATATATTACAAAAAAAAATACTGATGTGTAGGCCTCACCTCTGATTTAATTGCTCAGAGATGGGCCCCGGGTATCAGCATTTTGGAAGCTTTCTAGGTTATTGCAACATGTAGTCAGAGTCAAGAGCCACAGTCGTAGTAAAATAAATATTGGCTGCAGATGGGGGATCCCGAGCTTCTAGTCAATGTTTTTTCATTTCAGGGTATGTGATGATGGGCAGTTCACTTAATCTCTCTGGTCCTTTGTTTTCTTGTTTATGAAATGAAGGGATTGAACACTATTATCTGTAATGGTTGTAGCCCTGGCCTCACCCTGTATTAGTTTATGACTGTTGACCTGACACTTACTTAACCCACCATCTTATTTTCTTTACCTGTAAAACGAAGGTAAAAATTAATGCTTTGCCAACTTTATGAAAGATTGTGAGGATCAAATTATATAATTTATGAAAAAATGTTTTGAAAACTGTGAGATACTCTATACATACAAAGTAATGTTGTTGTTGATCATAAAAAGACACCTGTTACTTAGTCATTCTCTTTCTGCATGTTTATATCCTAAGATTTGAAGCAAACTAGAAACACACTTCTTTTGTGTAGATTTCATTTTCCCTTTACTGGTTGTAGTGCATGCTTTATTTCTGTATGAGTGTGGAATAATATTTTGGTTCTACTTTATTCACTATCCATTGCTTAGGGAATTACAGTGATCATGGGACAATCAGCTGAGTGGCAGAGGATTATAGTTGCTTTGAATAAAAATATAGTGCTGGTCCTGAACTGTTGCTAAGATTATGAATTTAGCCAGAAACTCCATTGCCTTAGATCTTCTCTGTACAACATTTTCTGTGCCTCTGTCCTCCTGCCCTTGGGAGGACCTGGTATGTATTCATCTGGGGCTTAGGGTCTGGAACTAGATTTTTAACTTACTTGAGGACAAAAAATGACTTACTAGGTAATGTAAAATAAAATTGGAAGGTAGATTTTGCTCAAAGAAGTACTTTCTTTATGATGATTTGTTTTCTGTCAAAAGTCTTCTTATTTCTTTAATGATGGATGAAAAGCTTGGTTAGCTTTTATGGAGGGCTTTGCAATAGGTATCTGGTTCAGATATTCAGCGGGACAGGCTATTGTATTAGATTTCTAATAACACTGCTTAGTTCTTGCAAGCCAATAAAAATAATCTCCTTACTAGCCAGCTGAGGGTTGCCCCTTACCTTTGTGGTTTTTGCATTATTATACTTTTTCAAAGCCCTGTTTCGAAAGTCACTTCTTTTATTTCCAGTGTTCTAGCAGCCAGGTCATTCTGAGTAGTACATTGTCATTACAATGGTGCTATATTAACTTAAAGAATACCTTAACACGTTTCATTTTTATCCTTAAAGTACTAAAGCTTAGAGAGCAAATGAGTATAGAATTAAAAACACTTTTTAATGTGCTTTGACTGCAAGGGACAACACGGCCTTTATGGTGTGTCTTACCATTTGAGTGAGGAATGATAGACAGGCTTGCTTCCCCACCCCAGACATAGTTATAAATGTATTTAATGTCTGGTAGAGCTCTCTAACACGGGATTCTTGTAGAAGCTGTTCATATTCAGCTGCCCTGTCATTTTATTAGGGCTGTTATTCATTTCTTTTCCCATACTTACATATAGGAAGGAGCATATACAGCTCTCTGTTTCATTTTGAATAGTTGGTTATTGCTTTGTAACCAGACGCTTTTAGGATTTCAACTTCCTTTTTAATTAAAAGGAATTAACCCCCTGTAGGAAATAATCCATCTACTGGGAAGCGTTCCCACCAAAAATTCTGGCAGATCTGCCAGTAGATCCCTGTGCTAGACTTACACTTATTCCTCCATGCTAAACTTAACCTCCCCCCGCCTTTCTCCTCTCCCTCAAAACTCCAGGCTTTCTGGACGTTTATAATTTGGGTTGGTGGTTTCTCTAAACTTGGATAGCTGCCCTTTGGGTTTTTCATTATGTATCCATATGGGCTTTCAAAACCCTGAAATTGTCTCAGGCTTTAGTATGAGGGAATTCATACACTTTAAAAGGGGACACTTACAGTTTGCTTTTTAAAATTTAAGGGGCATTATTAGTTAGCTGAGTGTTTATTAGTAGATTGTTTCAGTAAGAGTGAAAATGTAACCTATAGACAAACACAGACAGGTTTTTTAAAAATTACCTTCTGGTTGGCAGGGGGGGATCTAAGGGGCCTTGTGTTGTCCTACAGCTTGTGTGATAGGTGTGCTTCCTTCATGTGTTAAACAAAAGCCCAACCCCCTGTTTTCTCTCTTTGGCACGTCCTAGAAATCCTATTCTGGTGAAAACACAGCTAGTGCCATTGCCCGCTCTGCTGCCGCCACGGCTTTGTCTCTCCTTGTGCCAGTTTTCATTATCTCTTGCAAAGAGAAGGTTGAGGAAATCCTGAACATGCTGACTGCCAGGTTACCTGGGAAACCAAGTGCTGATGAGTCTCAAGCCGTGCAAATCCACATGGGCCTTGCTTTGGGGATGTTTCTCTCTCGCTTGTGTGAGGAGAAACTCAGGTACAGTTTATTAAAATATTCCTGCTTTTCCTTTTTGTGATTTAGGCGAAGGATTTGACACACATATACACACGTGCATAAACATTATATCTGAGCAGTGTGAGGTTGCTAAACTTTCTGAGATGGGCAAGTTGATTTTTTATTCTCCTTTATGTGTGCATTTGTCTTTCTAATACCATCACATAGATATTAATGTATTTTAAGGATTGCTCTTTTTAAAGTGATTGATTACTTGAAAATCATGTCATGCTTAGGTGGAAGCTGTGGATACATCTGTGTGATAGATATGAGGAAAAGTCTAATCTTCTGGAGCTATAAATAAAGTCGTTTTCTTTTTTCTGGTTTATAAGGGTGAAAATAATTGCTGATCCTCTACTGATATCACTGTGAAACGGGAGGAAGGGATTGGGGTACCCTTGTGCCTGAGGGTACTGGGAATCACTGAGTCAGCTAAGAACTGCGTGTACCCAGTTTTAAATATTGCCTTTATCCTGTGCCCTGGCTACATTTTTATAATCCTTAAAGAGTCTTAATCTGTGCATATTATACTGTGTGCTTTATTCAGTCTGATTGCTCATTTTTGGATTGCTAGCTTTACCCGTGAATGGAGTTAAGAGAATATCAAAGACCCAGGTGGAAAATTCCACTGAATGGGAAAGTTTTCTCATGCTAAAGAATCTACTTTAGTTTTGCTGTTCATTATATTTATTCTTTATTTTCTAACAAATCTTAGAATTTTACATATCCAGATTGATTGCAGTGTGGTACTACATGAATATTTGAGTATCATGAATATTTAGGTGTCACTGACTTGGAAGTTAGCCCCACTTTCCTGCGTTGGAAATAGGGGAGTAGGGAGGGGCATCCTGTTGTGATGTTAGATGTCCTTACGCTTCCCTGGTCGGCAGAAATTAACTGTCTGTCCAAAGGCGAGAAATGGTGTTGCTGCAGAGAAACTGGATGACATCATGCTATATTTAGATTTCAGTTTGAAACCAGAGGTTAAGTTTGCATTTGTAATTTATATAGTTTTGTGCAAACACTAATATGTGAAACCTTTATGAGAACTGTTGTTGATCTAGGGGAATACTATATTTCAGATGATCATTTTCAGCTCTTGGAAACATCTGTCCGATGACTAGGAAGATTGGCTTAGTCTTAGTCTGCAGTGTTTCCAGAGTATTCATTTTGCTCTCTTCACCAGCTTTAGTACGTATAGGCCTGGTTCTGGTCCTGAACAAAAAGCTGCCCTTTGCATGTGAGTTGACTGTTACATATCTTGTGTGTGTGACAGAACACAAAGTATTTTTAAAGACTTAAAACTTGAAAGTGATTTTTTTCCCTTTGCTACTGTTGCTACAAATGGCAGTCTCTTCACCATCTGTGTTCATGCTCTTTCTTCAGTATCTTTTCAAGCAACATGTTTTACAACTAAAAATGAGCCATGGCAGTTTAATTCCAGGCAACTCATTTCATCCTGTCCTGGCTCTGGCTCCCGTCTTCATTCGTTTAGCGTGAGATGTTGCTGGTTTTAGGGCTTGACAAGCTTGCGTTTGTGGTTAATTTCACCATGCTACCTGGAGAAACCTATGGTGATTCACCTAAAGCGTTCATTCCTAATTCCTAAATTGCCTTCCACCCCTGTCTATCTTACTTGACTTTGCCCCTGCTGGAAACCCTGGGGAAGGACACCAGAAGCTCTTCTCGAGGCTGAGTGCCCTCAGAATAACTGCAAATTTTGCCTTTGCCCTAATGATCCTACATTTGATTGCATCCTCCTTCCTTAGGCCAGTGTCTTAGTACTGTAGCCACTGGTATGGTTGTTCATGGTTTCCACCTTCCTGATTTCTTGAAGCAGAAGAATCTGTAATATTTGCCGTTTGGTACTAATAAATATTTTACTAGATAATGACAATGTCACCAGATAATGACATTTTTGGAGAAAGTTTCCCTTTTTCTAAAATTAAGGTAATTGTTTTGAGGGCTGTTGACTGAATAGTCAATGATATCAAATAAGTGGCCCAAAACAACCCGCTAAGGGAACAGGATTAGGACAATATGTTGGTCTTGATAATGAAAAATCACCTTACAGAAGAGAATTATGACAGTGAATCCATTTTTTGCTAAGGCTTATGAAAAAGTCATCTGAATTTAAATTCCAGTCTAGAATTTATTCAGAAAAGCACATTATTCCAAAGCTTGCCTCTGTCATAACTCCCCGAGGATACTAGTAGGATCTTTTAGCATTTGTTTAGTATATTTAAGTGTATTTTACTCCAGAAAACAGCTATAATAGAACTTATTTAGTTAAAGCTATTAAAACTGTGTGTATGTGTGTGTGTTCTCATTGCAAAATGTAATCCTCCACCTCAGGCAAAACCGCTATAGTCTTGGTTTGAGAAGACATTATCGAAAGTGCTCTCTGGCTGGTTGGCACTCCTGGGGCTGCATTCCACTCGGCATGGTCTGAGGCAGCAGCCCGAGAGCTGACACATAGGAACCCCTTGATAATATGGTGTTGGTGATGAAGCCCACAACTCTGCCTGAAAAAGCAGCCATAGAGCTACCTTTTAAGTTTTACTTTTACAGGTCGTAGTTCTCACCAAGACAATTACAAAAACCACATCAATTACAGTATAAAGGCAGAAAAATATAGGGCTCGGTTTTTTTTCACCCCCACCCCTTTTTTTTTTTTTAAAAAAAAAGGAAAGTAAAAGAATGGAACTTATAACTTCCACAATTGAGACATGAAATCACAAGTAACAGTCTTTGCAAGAAAAGGATTTGGAACAATTATTGATATTATCAGCCTCATGAGTTACTAAATATTCTGAAGAAAATCACTTTAGCATTCTTAAAAATGTTTTTTTGGGATTCTGACTTCGGTTTTTATTTTTCAGTGGTTTAAAATATGAATGGGCTGAGAAAATGCAGAAGTAGAAGTTTTAGAGTTATTGGTTTGCAAGTAACTATAATGTTCAGAAACCCAATTATTGATAAATTCTCTGACTCAGTTTCTCTGTCTACAAAATGAGTATATGTGATTGTCAATATTATTAATTGTTTCTTTTATTGTTTTTTAAAGAAATGCATTTTCAGTAAACTATTGAGAGCAAAATATTATATCGTAAGTATTTTAGACAGTTGAATGATTTTAAATAATTCATTTTTCCCTCATGGTCTTTACCCAGTGACGTATCTGGCCAGCAGATGAATCTTCTTCTGATGAAGTCCTTGGATGCCCTGGAAAATTGCTGCTTTGACTCTAGTCTTGAATACAAGTATGTCGATTCCGTTTCCCCCCAAAAGATACTTAAAGATTGGTTATTACTCTGTCATAAATCTTGCATTCTGAGGTGAAGTATTTGTAGGACCTGATCTTGAATCCCTTTGCAAAGAGTCTTCAGTAATAATCAAAAGTCTGTAATTAAAGCTGACTTGTTCTGAAAACCAAGTTGCAGCAATAGACAATTTGCTTCAATATAAAGCCAAAGTGATATTTTGTGGCTGTCATTAAGTTACTAATACCTTAGTTCTGTCTTATATGTGTCATACGAGGCATATATCTGGGGATATATGTATTCATGTATCATGTATACATTGTATCACATCTTACACATGAATATCATGTATTCATTGTATTCATGGCTTAATCTTTTTAAAGATCTGTTGAAACCGTTCTTTGAATTTGATTGGGTTAAGGGAAGCTTTGACCACCATTTAGATTTCCCTGTGAAACCCAAAGGCTGAGGGGTCAAAATGGAAACAAACATAGGTTACACCAGGGGTTCCCGCCCTCCTCAATATTAGTAGATCCTTCTCCCACCTACAGACCTCATGTTTTTTAAAGATTTTGTCTATTAAACAAAATATCTTCAAGTTTAATTTATTTTCTCATTCCAGTCATGAAAATGAACAAAAACCAAAAGGAATGATCAGAAAAGAATACCTCAAAGAACAGTGTTAAACATTCTCGTTCAGTGAGACGTTGAATGTTTCAGTTAGTCTGTGTGACTTGCGTGGGAGAATATACGGTTTTATTAGGCTTTCTGAAGTATTAACACCTTTGAGGACCTACGTTCTACCTTGTTGGACTTCCACATTATTACTAGGAAACTCAACAGATGATAAGCACTAACCTCCAATTTATTAACTCATTTACTTTTTGCTATAATGGGCAGTGTTCAAATATGAGTTGAAATCAGTGCTGATGTTTCTGGCCTTTAGGAATTTGTAATCTAAAGTTACATTTGTACTGTCGAGCCTGCTAAGTTCAGACTGACAGAAGAGTCAGTGGCGGAAATAGCTGCATGGATCAGTATCTCATCATGAGTAATTAAGCCAGATTTTCACTTAGTAGGTGGTAGCCACAGGATCTTCTTTTAGAGGCAGGCCAAGATTGGGCGAGAACATTGATGCCCACCCAGTTTATCTCGAAACACTTTAGAGATGAAATAACATGTTGAGTGTGGTTTTGAATATGGGAAAAGAAAGAGTTAAGTGGCCTGATTGAGGTCTCTCAAATATAGAAAGTGATTAATGGAAGGGATGCGGCCATTTAAGTGTTATTGGGTCTGACGACCAGTTGAGATGTTTGAGCCTCATCCATGTGTTGGTGGTGTTGCCTTTTACAACCAAAGAGGAAGATATGTTTGTTTCTCTCTCTCTCCTTTCCTCCTCTTGCCTTCCCCACATAGGAGTTCATCATAGCTGTAGCTCAGAGTATTATGAAGTTGGGAAAAATTTTGCGATTATGATGCTGCAAACTTTCAGCCAGTTGGAACAATCAGGAATCACTTTCATGTATCATCTCCATTAGTTTGCAGGAAGGTTGTTTGAATGTAAGGAGGACCATTGGAATAAATGAATTAACCACAATATGGATATTTATGCATTTAAAAACTTGATCTGTCTAAGCATATTTAACTTTAAAAGTAACTTTTTTTTATTAATAAGTTTCTTATTTCTTCATTCTTTCTTGATTCTTACCTTCCTAATGAGCAAATGTGGGAAAGGGAAGGGTGGGCCTAGAGAGGGGACTAATCCTGCAATCAAGTGGAATAGGTCATCAGAAATTTCCTGTCCGTTTAGTAAAATCTTGCTTGTCTTTAAGAACCCAATTAAAAGCTCAGGTCCTTCAAGCAATGCCCCCTCTATCCTCTCCAAACTCTGTTATTCCTATAGCTAATGAAGTTTGGTGTTTTGTCATTCCTAATGCTGTGTGGTGTCAGTGCTTATGGAGCTCTCTCTCTGGTTGCACCTTCAACTAATACTGAGTAGCTGCATTTTGTGCTAGATGTTTTCACATCCATTGATCATGTAATTAAGACCAGATTACAACCTAAATGTTAATACTAAAGCAGGAATCATCATCACTTTGGTTTATAGATGAAGAAAGTGAGTCTCAAATAGGAGACTGGATCAAGGTCACACAATAAGCAGTGCTAGGAGAGAACCCTAGGTTGTCTGACGTCAAAGTGTTCTTCTTCCTTTTACATAGTACAGTGTGGAGAACACATTTCCATAGAAAGAAAGCAATTGACACTTGACAGTATGCTATTTATTATTTATTTTTTTCTGATGTGCAGGTATTTCTCACCATTACAAAAAAAAAGAGAGCGATTGTAACTAGGCCCAGACCTGAGTGCCTGGCGCATGGCATAAAGATTTTATTCCCCTGTCTAATGAGATTGCAGGAGTCTAGGGCAGACCTTCCTCAAGAGAAATAGTGGAAGCGTTACCGGGAGGTAGTTAATAGATCTGGGAACGTGCTACCTCCAGTGATAGAATTCACCCAGAGCAAATTCACCACGCTTCCTTGATTTAATAGATGTGCCCCTGCTGAGAGAACCGAGCACCTGGGCCGGTCCCCATGTGTGGTTCTATCACTTACACTTTGCTGCCATCTAGTGGTGTCTATTTGCCATTGCGCTCCTCACAGCCCTGACTGGTCATGCGAGCTATCAATGACCTGAGCGTTGGTTAATTACTATCGAGCTTTTACAAATACGATAACATTTGTATAGTGTTTTGTAAAGGGCAAAGCGCTATACAAATGTTAACTGTTATTAGAACTAATTATTAGATGGCCTAGTACTTAATCTGCAGGATAGCCTACAATAAACTAGGGAATTGAAGATTCATCTCTGGTTAATTTTAGAAAAATATATCATTATATCTCAGTTGATATAGCAACACATATATCAGAATTGCATAGCTTTGGAGTCTCAGATTTCCTTTTGCCAGTGATGTTTTAATATACTCGCATATGAAATTCAAATAACTAATGACATAATAGGGCATATAATTTTAAAACTCAATTTCTCTTTTTCATTTGTTACTATTCTTATAGAAGATTTATGATAGCCATTCCAAAATCTTAATTTTATAGCTAATAATTTTCTTATTTCATTTGTCTGAGATACCAACACTTAACTCCTTTTTGTTTTCAACGGACAGAAAGATTTGAAAGCTATCTCTGCCCAAGCACTTCTTGGGTTAGAGCTGGCAGACATACCAAAGGGAAGCTAGATTGAGGTAAATGTGTAGAAATGAGGAACTAAGCACCTCGGGAAATCTTTAAGACTCAGGAGGAAAATAAACAGCTTAAAATGTAGAAGACTTGGAAATCAAAAGGAAACATCAGGAATAAAGCTTTAGGACTACTTTTTTGGTGCATGGTGGAAAAATGAGACAAAATAGAAGGAAACAGTTTAGAAGGTCAATAGACGTATACACTCTAACATGTTCATATTGGCATAGTGTATACATAGTTAATCTATATATTCATGCATTACAACAGTCAACTAACTACCATTGTAGCAATGAGGAGAACTGTTAGGGAATGGTAACGTTACCCGAGAATAATTATGCTGTGATAATATTTAGGTAAATGTGAACTAGAAACTGGTATGTCTTTTTCTAAGCCTTTGTGCCCATATGCCTTGGGATGGAAAAGGAGGAGCTTCGGTCCAGGGGATAGACATTTCTGTATGTCCAGAATAGCCTGAAAAGCAAGACTTAGATACCTGCCTGTTTATTGAGAAAGATGGACCCCAGCACGTATTTTACTGAGCTTTGAGAGGGATCCTAGGGATCCTTTTTCCTCATGAACCCAACACCCCTCTTTCTGGCAAGACATAGAAATTGAGTTTTCTTGATTGAATCTTGGATGATATATTCAGTGAATTTTGCCACCCATAAATTTTGCCTCCAACTAAACATGACAATCAAGTCTTGTTGTTTTGTTTTGTTTTTTCCTGTAGAACTTCTCTCCACTTTAGACTCTCTTGAAACATTGCATTTGATCAGTTCTTCAGCATTCAGTAAATACTGGTTGAATGCCTGTCCTTGTCAAGCAGTGTGCTAGGTGCCACAGATACTGTGGTGAGGAAAAACCAGCAATGGTAGCCACCCTCAGCGAGCTTGCAGGCTGGTGAAGGAGGTGGGCCCTAGTTGTCTGAAGTAGATTGGTACAGGGTGTTGTCGGAGGGTACGAAAGAGCTTTCCTGCTGGGCCAGGGAAGGTGTCCTTGAGGCAGTAACATTGGACATCTTAAGCTTACGTAGCAGTTAAATAGTCAAAGAGGGAGCAAAAGTCAAATTTTTCAAAGCATTAATCACGTTTTGTCTAACTATATCTTTGGTCTAATTCTGTCACGTTTTTATATGCATCAATAGAGAAAGATAGCCAAAAAAACTTCCCTGTAGACTCTAAATGAAAATGAAGACTTTAAATCCGTGCTCATCAAGAGCAGCCTTTCCTCTTTCAGAAATGTGATTTGTTTCAAAAGCATGCAGTTCTCCGACGTTAGATGCTGATTTAACTGGTTGGAAATGCATTATGCTAGTTGAGCTTGTTGTTAAGTTCATGTAAGCTTTAGCAGCAGTTCTGCCTGACTAATGATGGATTGTTACTCCAGTAGCTTCTTTACAAAGGATTTTCTAATGCCAGATTGTTATACAATAGAAACTAGAAAAACACTTGAGCTCTGTTGCCTTCTTATAGGCTTTCCATCATGGCATCATGCAGGGCACCAAGAGGGGTTTGGGGTTTGGCAGATGGAACAGGAGGCTGGGAATCACAAACCCTCGTCTTCTGGCCATGCTCTGCTGGAAACTCTCTGCGTGACCTTGAGCAAATCCTGCAGCCTCTCTGTCCGTTTGGGTGTCTCTTCTCAGATGCAGATGCTCCATTTGCGCAGGGGTATTGGGGGAAGTAATTAACATGTTCATGAAACTATGTGAAGGTTCTTGACACCAACCAAGGAGATAAATGCTATATATAAGAGCAAAATGATGTAATGCACGGACATTGACATAGGTTATTGAGAGATGCCCTGGAATGTCTTTTTAAGTGGCAGCTATCATGATGAGAGACAAGCCAAAGCAGAGTGAAGATGATTTCTGACAAAGTCAGCATTTCTTCACTTTAAAAAACAATAATGACAAAAACTCTTTTTAAAGTAAAAACTTAGCCCAAAGCTGCGTTATCTTATCATACTAAGTAGAAGTTTTCTAGGAGAACAATTCTTTTCTTTAAATGGATATGTATTCTTTCAGGAGAATTGGGGCACAAAGCCCAAGATTCCAATTGAATTGTCACATGGGGTAACTTTTGACAAGCCTGTCATTTGTCCATTTTCTCTTCTGACCCAGTGGTAGACCGAGGGATCAGAGGGGAGAAGAGGATTAATGTCATTGTGCACAGACAAATACACAGTTTCTTTGAGAAAGAAATTCCACTTGTTGAAGTTGACTAGGAAACATGAAGCACTTAGCAGGACCTCATAGTCATGACTTGCATTTATCCCCCTGTATTAGTCAGATGTCTTCAGCTCATATCCTGAAATTTAGTCTTTTCTCTCCTTATGCAGTTAATCATAGTGCACTCAGCATGGCGGCCAGTGGAGAGAGGACCTCAGCATCTCTCTAGATGCAGAGATAGAACTGATAATTGGCTTTGCTTTTTACCCCTCTTCCTCTCCTCACCATAGAGTTTAACTCAAACTATTTCATGTTTTTGTTTGTTTTTCTTTAGTGGGTACACAGCACTAGCATGGACGATGGACACCTGTTTTGATATAAAGTTCTCCTTTTAAGGGGGGAGGTGGGTGTACTGGTGGCAGTTCATGGGGCACAGTTAGGCACCAGGGAGCAGACTTAGAATCCGGCCGTCTTACCTCAGGTTGTGAGTGCTGCAAACTCCCATGATAAGTGACAAGCAATGATGTGGATTTCCTGTGATTTTAACACCTCATCTATTTTGACATTCAAGCACGGGCTGTATATTGGGAGTTGGACTTGTTCTGTCCTTCATGAGCCACAGCGGCCAAATGGAGTCACGAGTTCACGTGGCAGCATCGCTTCGGAAGCTCTCTACGTACCTAGATGACAGTGGGAGCCAGAGCAGAACGTTTCAGGAGGTAGGAGACAGGTTACAGTTTTCTGCCCTTTGCTGTCTTTTATATTCCCATTGCTGCTGATTTTCTATTTCTTATATTTTGGTAACCCTGAAATTAAATTCTTCCTCAATCTCAGCTAGGATTAAGAGAAAATCTGAGTGGCAAACAACCTGTATTAGATCATAAGGTTTTCAAATTGTGCAGCTGTTTAAATCAACTAAGACTTCAATGTGGCATCTAAGATAAGAGCCTTCAGTGAATACAAAAACCTAAGTCAGCGTCACTAGACGGCACTTTCTAAGAAGAGCTGCAATTTCTGGAGGAAAGTTAAATGGAGATTTTTAGAATTATGCTTGAACCAAATGTAACTTTAAGAGATGGCCAGGAATAAGCTTAAGAAACTGCGGATCCAAAAGGCATTTGATTCTTTTAATGTCAGCTAGCATGAAAAATTATTGAGGAAATTCCCTTTACCACACTTAATGAAAAGATTTTTCTGTTAGGGTGCAAAAATCTGCAGAATTGCAGTTCATGTGACATGGTCTCTGTGTGTTGGCCGTGGTTAGAGGGCACGTCTGAGGCATGTGTCTGTGGTGCCCAGGTGAAGCTGAACCACCTCTGCTCTCCTTTGGGAGGAGCCAGGACGACCTCTTGGCCTGGCCAGATTCTCCCTCTCATTAGAGCAGATTCTATTTTATCTCGGCCTGCCCACGAGCTATTGATGAGTACATAATGGCTGCTGTGTTTCCCTGCTCAGCCCCTCTGCTTTCAGCAATAGGGCTTGTTGAATTGGTGAATTTCTTTGGGGCACAGAGGGTTGAAGTTTTGTTCTATGGTGTGCACCACATTTCCATTTTGAAAGCAATGCAAAGCGTGATTTAAAAGTGCATATTTCTTTAAGCCAAATAAAATTTTGCAACCAAGGAGCAATTTGATTAATAAATGAAAGCAAAGTTTTTATAACTGATGCATCTGTCTGTCTTGAAGTTTTGATTTATAAGGCCTTAAGTAAGCAGTTTTGTTTTTTTCTCCCCTATGATATTTTAGTGTCCAATTTCTGCCTGAGAAACTACTTTCTTTTTTTATGCAGTGTGAGCTAGCGTTAGGAGTTGACCATTTTCATTTTGTCTTAACAGCGTCTTTGTAAGGGAGAATTCCATCATGAAAATGTGAAGTAGTGCAGGCAGGGGATGATTAACCTTGATTTGCAAAAATTGAGGCTCAAATAGATGCAGGGACTTGCCCAAAGTTACTTAGCCAGTAAATGGTCAATTTGGAACATAGCCTGAGTATTCTGTCTCTTCCCAACATTCTTTTTTTATTTATAATTTGTTCATTTATTTATTCATTTACTTATTAAATTACCACAGCAGTGCTATGAAGTAAGTAGTGTTAGCTCTATTTTACACAATTTCTCTGGCTCTCAAGCCCACGTTCCTGGTCCGTTACGCTCCAGTACTTCCAGCAGACAATCTTAACATACCCGCGTTTCACTTCTTTCAATTTCCGCTCCTGTTTGGCTTTGGATCTCAGAGTACGTGGCAATTAGTAGCATCTACTGGTGATGAAAATCTGCTTCCGCTGTTGATAGATGCTGTGTTCTGACATGAGGTGATGAGGGAACTTTTTGATTTAGACTCTAAAGACCTGAGTTTGAATCTCGCCTCTCTTTCTAGTTATGTAATTGAGCCTCAAAGTCTTTATCTGTAAAATAGGAATAATGACACCCATCCCATAACAGTGTCATGAAATATAACGTGTTAGGCAGTAAAACAATGCCTCGTCTGTAGCAGATGTATTTGAATCTACTTCTTATCCTGGGGAGAAGTTTGACGGAATATTTGTGTCAGCTAAGCTGTGTTCTTTTATTTTCCCTCATGAAGAAACGTTTTTCTGCCGTCTTTTCTTCTCAGGTCCTTGCCTATACCCTTAGCTGTGTGTGTGCATCAGCATTCAGTGCTGGAATTATTGAGGCCGCAGAGGCTGAAGATGTCATGAACAAGCTTCGACAGTTAGTGGAGAACAGCCAGCAGGTTGGAATGTGTGCCTGATTATTTCTTTCTGTGGGTCTCTTGCTGCTGCTAAGGCCTCATTTTGACTTACTCTGGATTAGATTTATGGAATATTTTTCACGCCCAGAAGTAAGGAACTTCTAATGCTTGTCCTCGCTCATAGCTGTGGCCAACAGTCACAGATATCTTTTTCTCGTTTGATACCCTATCTTCTTTTGATACCCCCATTTCTTTTTCTTTGAGAGAGTACAAAAGGCTTTTCTCTCTCTCCAACTATTGCTCTGTATTTGTAACATCTTAAAATATGTGGTTAGGGAATGTAAGAGTTACGGAGGGCTAGAGATAATTTGTAAAGATATGAATACATAGAGGACCCTGATAAGGTCAAACCTCAGCAAATTCAAGGCAGAGAATCTCTGCTCGTGACTGAATATGTACAGGACAATTTACATGCCTGTAAATTGAATTAAATACCCTTAAAATACTCCCTCTGAAATATTATTCAGCCTTAAAGAGGAAGGAAATTCTGACGTATGCTACGACAGGATGAATCTCGAGGACATTATGCTAAGTGAAATAGTCAAATCACAGAAAGACAGATACTGTGTGATTCTACTTAGAAGAGGAGCTGGAGTAGCCAAAGCATAGACAGAAAGTGGAATGGTGGTTGCCAGAGGCGGGATTGGGGGGGTGGGGTTGGGGAGTTATTGTTTAATGGGTATATAGTGTCACAGTTTTGCAAGATGTTCTGGAGATGGATGGTGGTGATTGTTGCAGAACAATATGAACGTGCTTAACGCCACTGAACCATACACTTAAAAATGGTTAAGATGGTGAATTTTATGTTATGTGTAATTTACCACAATAAAAAAATTGAAAAAAAAAGTTCCCTCTGATGATACATACTATAAAATTTCCTCATTTGAGGTTTTGTTTTTACGTTTCTCCGAAGTCTTAATATTGGCCGTAGTGGGTTATTGCAGGAGTCACTGGCTCGAAGCTTATATTGTAATGTATTGTTACTATTTTGTGCTTATATGCCTGCTCACTCATGTTCAGAATAGGTTTTGCAGCACCAAAATGTACGACTTTGCATATGCTGTGCTCGTTGTGGGACATTTTCTCTTCTTCTTTGGGAGTTGGCCAGGCTCCTGTGATCTACCTTGGTGTTTTCACCCCGACCCCTTCAGAGAATTTGGATCTTCTGAGCCAACTCTCTTAATAGTCCAGTGTTATTTTCCTAAAATAAACCGCTCCCTGCAGCTGAATTCCTTGCAATTAGACTGCAATTTATTTTGCATACGAAAGTCTTGATTTAAAAAGTCTGCAAATCTCTGGTTTTCATATGGCAAAAGAACGTGTCAGTAGGAAAGGGAGCCTCTAGAAGTGCCTGTGTGCTATATATAGACATTCCTGATCTGTGCCATTCTGCTTCTTTTTTCTTACCCCTTGTTTTCATTTTTTTATAACAGACTTCAGGTTTCGCCCTGGCGTTGGGAAACATAGTTCATGGTTTGTCTGTGTGCGGACATGGAAAAGCTGAAGACTTGGGCAACAAACTGCTCCCCGCCTGGATGAGAATTGTTCTAGCAGAGGTAGAGGTCACCTCCTGCATGATTATATTTTTATGAAGGAAAAAGAGCTGCTTTGTTGGACCATTTATAGGTGCTGCTAAGATATATAGCTTAACGATAAAAGAATAGGCAATTTCTGACAAAAGAGACGTGTACTTTTAATCCCTTATAAATGATACATCCTGTCAACCTTTATAGAGTTTTAAAAACTGTCTATTTTGTCAGTGTTTTAATTTTAAAATAACATTGTGCTTTGTAAATAAAAAACAGGAAGGCACTTATGATCTAACAACTTTAACCTGTCACTTTATTCAAGTCTGCTGCCAGTTTTGATTCAGTGATACAGGTTATGTTGACCCTATAAATTTGGTGCCATTTTGACCATTTATTTCTCTATGATATAGTGAGTTTTAAAGAATTCAAACCCAAGGGCTGTTTCTTTCTTGATGGGTTCTGATGCTTTGTTTTCAGGGCACTCCCACAATGCTTTGTTTGGCAGCTCTTCATGGCATGGTGGCCTTGGTTGGCTCTGAAGGGGATGTAATGCAGGTAAAAACAAAAAAAAAGGGAAGAAATCTAAATGCGTCCATAGCCACCGCAAGAGGAGTATACCCAAAGTCTCAGTATGCTAAGGATGGAAGAGTATATGTTCATGGTAATGGCTGTGCGGGGCTTTTCAGCGCCTTTGTGTATAGAAAATTGCTCTTGGTTGAGAATTTCTGTATAGAGATTTGTTCCTTGTTTTATTTGGTTTGTAGGAATTAAACCTCGTCAACCTATATACTTTCCACAAAATTCCCTGCTTGAGAAAAGTGATTGAATCATAAGAAATTTCAAAAATCATTCATAAGGAACTCCATTTTGTGTCTGCAATGTTTAAGCTTTTATCTATGCAATTATTCTTTCACTTTAAAATGTTTTCAACAGCAGATATACATGTGTGTAAGTTTACAAGTAATTCTGAGGAGTTCCTTTGTCCCTGTGGTAAAGGTTTATTAAGTGACTGCTACGTGCCACACTGAGCTGGTACTGGGAAGTCAATGAGGAGTAAAGCGTGGGTCCTGTCTCAAGGAGCTCACGGCTTTTGTTTTTGAAATATAAGGATGTATGATAAATTATTCCATAGTTTAGAAGATGATAGCTCATACACTGGGCCTATCATTATTCACTTTTTGGGGGGCTGTTGGGGTGGGTATTTCTCCTTTTTCTTTCAGCTGAAGTCGGAAGCCATCCAGACCTCTCAATTTCAAGGCAGACTTAATGAAGTCATTAGAGCTCTAACTCAGGTGAGAAGAGGAACTTCGAATCCCTGTGTAGAGAAACCAGATACTCCCCTTGGTTATCTTTTTTGTTTTCATGATACAAACTGTTTTACTTGGAAAATGGGGAAATCTCTGGTTATTCATGGTGAGTTCAAGGGTCATTTGAGAATGGTTGATGACCCTGCATTCGTTGACGAACGAGTGTTGCCTCTGGACAAAAAGAAAGCTGGCACTGTTGAGTTCACTTAGGTTGGCATTGGTTTCCCTTAAAATTAAAATCTGACCCTGCAAGGAATGTCAGGCCCTCAGGACAAGGAAAAATGGAAGGTGATCAAAGGGCAGGGCAGATAACTAAGTGGTATGGTTAAGAGGCATGAGTTCAGATGTCACTGATAAAAGTGTTTAAGTCATTGTCAGCGTTATCCTTGGCTAAAGAATAACCTTGTTCATCTGCTGGGAAATGATTTTATATCTTAAGATTTTTATTTAAAATAATTATTTTCATTGCATAAAATTTGAAGTACAGAATGAAAGAAACTGAAAAAAATATCACTGATGGTCCTCCCAACCTGAAGCAACTGCTACTAATATTCGGTCAGATTTCTTGTCAAGCATTCTTATTTTTTTTGCCTATCTGGTATTCTTACTACATATAGTACTTTGTGTCCTAGTCTTTTCACTCAGCATACTTGTTTTCATTCTTGTGAAATATAGCTGATTATAATACCTACCACAGAAAGAAGTTTTAGTAATTCATGCTTTTAAAAGCAAACATAAATCTCCGAACAGAAGAAACTCTTTTGCATGTATGAATATGAATAGTCTCAAAAAAAGGATTCTTCTGGAGCTTAAATTACTATAACTTGGGAGAAAAATCTGTAAATGAAAACTGTTATTTAAAAAATGTTTATTTTGAATGATAAAGTAGTAATAGGACATTATTTAAAGAAGAGAACAACATAATATCTCCTTCCATTTTTAGAGGTTTTTAGTCTTCAGCAACTGTCACTTCTTTTTACTATTTGGATTTTCTTTTCCCATTTTTTGAAAATTCCTTTGAGACCACTCTGACTTAGTGAAACCTGAGACGACCATTAGTACCTTCTATCATGATTGATTGATTGATTCATTCATTCACTCAGCAACACTTGTTGATTACCTCTATGTCTCAGGTTTAGTATACTCGACACATAATAGTACATTTTGCTTGGAGCCTCTCATTACCAGCCAAGCTACCACTTCATAAAAGATGAGTGACTTTCTGTGTGTAGTCTTTTACTGAATGGAGTTTCGATCTTGCCCCATCATTGAACTGTAACATTTTCATCCATAGGTCATCAGTGTGTCTGGGGTGATTGGTCTTCAGTCAAATGCTATCTGGCTTCTAGGACATCTTCATCTATCTACTTTGTCCTCAAATCAAAGTAGAACCTCTGGTAAGATTGGAGTCGTGGAACACTGGAGCTGGAAGGAGGGATTGCTGACTCGGGGCTGTATATTTTGTTAAGAGCATTAATCTCCACAACAACCCTAAGGAGTGGGAATTACCATCCCTATTTTGCATCAGAGGAAAATGGGCTTTGGAGAGGTTTCCTGACTTGCCCACGTGGCAGTAAGTTGTGGACTTGTGGTTTTAACTCAGATCTGCCAGCCTCCAAAGCTCGTGCTCTTTTCACTCTTCCTCTCTGCCTCCCTTAGAGAGCAGTTTAGACATTCAGCCTAACCCTGTATTTTACAAATGAAGAACCTAAGATTCAGAAGGATTGCATGACTTACATACAGAGTTAGTTTGGTGACAAATCCAGAAACTAGGAACCAGGTCCTTGAAGCTTGGAATAGAGTTCTTTTTATTTTACTAGACGTAACCATAGTTTGTATAATATTCGTATTTCATTAAAAGTCTCTTCATGTATGGTGGAGTTTTTCTGGTCCCTGCTTTTGAGAAAATAATGGGGTAAGCACATTTAAAGATGTACATCTACTTGGCTTTGGGATTGAAATCCCAGGTCTTAATATAACAAGGCTTTTTCTATTTCTAACTTTTTGATAAAAGCAATAAAAAGTATTTCCAATTCCCATATGCTTAATTTATGTTTGTACTTGGAGATTTTCTGGGAAAGGCATCACTGTAGTGCGCTGGAACCTATATCTGCTCCTTGTTCTTTGTGGAATTTTGACCCGCTGGCTCTCTTGGACCCAGGCCAGTGAGATTTAGGTACCAGATATTTGTCATGAAATCGTGAAAACCTAGTTTCACAAATCTTCTCACAGGTGGTCTATGGACTGCATTACCACAGACATGGGCCGCTGTCATTACTGTTTCCTTCACTTTCAGTCACTCCTTAGCTATGGAAATATGACATCGTTCTGCAGCATTTCCAACATAAAGAACTTTAGACAGCTGGAAGCTGTCATATTAAAATGGGAAAAAGAGAAAAACCTTAGTCATTGGAAACCCTTGGTGATGCCAGTTTTGAAGGGCAGAGCTCTGTCAATGTCCTGGTGAAATATCGTGTTCATTTCAGTCTTTCGCCTTTGACGTAAACTTCTGTTTGTTGTGGAGTACATGGTCTGGCCCACGCAGACTCAGGTCAGGCTGTAGTGAATCATCTTAACACACAGGTTCTTTGGAACAAAATGATTGTATTTCTGGAAAAGTATAGCTATCGTTTCTGATAGAATTTTCCAATTGAACCGTTTATTGCAGTAAAAACCATCTCATGAAATTATTATGGGAGATTGGGAGGAAAAAAATCTACGAAACTCCCAGGACTCAACTAGCATAAATGTCACTGCCTCAGTGTTCCAGGTCAGCAACCATATCTGGTTATTTGCACATGTTGGTCACTTAGAGGTCCTTGCTTTGTAAAGGAAGAGACTGGCTGCTATTAATACTGAGTGTTGCACTTCCATGGTTCATGTATCTGATTCAGGATGTCCTGAAGTAGTCCTTGGAATGGTGGTCTCGCTCTAGGTGCCCAGCACACTCCTTGCTGATGCTGAAGAGGTCACTGGAGTGGGGGTCATTGATGTGACAATGTGGAAAGGATTTTTTCAACCACTTCAGTGAAGTTTTCATCCTCTGTGGTTTTTCAACCTCTGCCAGGTTTACCACCGTTTTAGATTTGCTCGCATAGCCAATGTGATTACTTCAATACCAGTCGCTTAATCTAATAGAATTAGTTGAAGCCACAGAGTATTGTGCTGAGATTAATGGCATAAACATTTCCGCTTTGTCTCTAGGTTGATATGGCAGCATGAGATCATTATCTTTCCTTCATTAGTCCCACCAAGTTCACTGATTAATTTCATCATTTTCTGTCTCCACAGTTCCTACTGACTACAGCTATTTGCCTGAAAGCAGTTTTATTAGAGCAGCCATTGGTTTCTTCGTTACAGGAGGAAAAAAAGGCGAGTGAACACATTTCTTGAATTTTATCATTCTTTTTACAAGTTAGGTAAGTTTGTGTGCCCTAAGCATGCTTTTGTAGACATAATACAAATCTGAAGGGGTGAATATTTTCTTCTGCTAGGCCGTCTTTGCAGCGGAGATGACCAGGAGGTGAACTGCAATAAGTGGTGCATAAATATCCGTACTGTGTAGTGTCTTAGAATCACCATATCTGACACTGGGGGGCCTCCATGAAGGCCATTTAAACAGTATAAGCACATGTTACTTTTCTTGTCAATTTCAAGGGCCTGTGACCTAAAAAGAGGAAACATACCTGGGAGCAGTTTGTATTCCAGGACCTGACTTGGAAGTGGGTCTTCTCCCTGAACCTTGTGTTATCACCCTGTTGTTGGAATCGCTGGCTCTAGGTCTTACTTTTAGCGTGTGTTCTTTTTCTCTGCAAACATTTGTCCCTCTGTGATTATTTGTTGCTGCTACTCATGTTAGAGCACAGCAGTTTGAAGACAGAGATAGAATGCCTTTTGTTTTTAACTGGAGCCAGAACAATACCCTAAGAGTTATTGAATGAATATGCTTTAATGATACACACCTACTGTTCAGTGCTGCGAGGAAAAGACATGGATCAGAACTAACTTGTGATAGCTCAGGAACCAGTTTCTTTCATGGAATGTTTTCTCACTGATGTTTGCTGGTTTCTTTCTTCCTTGGGCTGGTTAGCTCAGTCAGGACAAAACCTGTGCCTGTATTACAACAAGACCATCTTGGTTTTAGAAAAAAAAGTTTTTAAACAAACTAAAATGAAGAAATCTGGAGGAAGCAAGTTTGATTAATGAAGGCTGTGGGAGAATAAGATGTTACCATTGAAAGGGACATTAAAGGTCGCTTTGTCTGTTTTCCCCACTGGGTATGGTAATCCCTGGAGATTCCAGATTATATGCTACTTTCATAGCTTGGAGATGAATTCCTTTAGCTTTTGGAGTTCTAGAAATTGTGCTGTTATCCTAGGGTCATGAATTAGCATGATTTGCTTTTACATATCCTCAGTAAAAATTGATACATGGTTATGTCACTGTTGTACATGATATATTTATATATGAACATGTCATATATTACACATAATGTGGAGTTAATTGTTTATATTGCCATAAACTAAGTCTATTTAAAATAGATATTATAATAGAGATGTCTTTACTGTAAGAAATTGAATTCATACTAAAGGAGCATCTAAAATTTCCATGGCCAGAATAATTCTAGGAATATATAGAATATAGAATATGCTCTATTTTTTGTTAATTTGCTCACTGATATCTTATAAAATTTTTGAGTGTTGATAATGTGAGAGATTCCCATGAGAAATAAAATTAAAATTCTTAAGGTCAAATGAAAGATAGATACTTTTTCTTTTCTGATGAATAAAATGTCATTTTGGCTCCCCAGATACATATTTCTTGACAGAAATGAATTTTCTCTGAATCTTGTTGGCAACTTTTGGTTAAATGTAATATTTTTATGATTATGCAGTCATGGCACAACAGGAAATGTTCTGCCCTAAAACCGAAAAATCAGGTGGAACTGGCATCAGTGATGTTATATGCAGTCTAGCTGAAAGCTACTTTAAAACTAATAAGTGAAGTATTAAAAAATGCCATATTACCAGTCAGATTTTTGGCATTTTCAGGTTGTGGGAGAGGGCTGCCTTCTTGTCAGGTTTACTGACTAGATTCAGAGGAAAGTCTATTCAGCCTTACACATTACTAATGATGACCCCAGAGGAGTGGGGGCCGTGGGAGGCTGACCTCCGCCTCGGAAGCCCATTTACAAAAACAAAACCAGACCCTGCTCTATGGGGCTAAATGGGATGGCCAAACGCGGAGGTGTGCATGCAAACGAGTGTTTTCTTCTTCAATATGCCCAGCTCATTTGAATTTTAATAACTCCCTTCTGGAGCAGCTTTTGAGTTTAAATGTCTGGATGTCACTCATCAGAGCCCAGTGGGGCTGCCAACAGGAAGGATGACAACTTTGGTGAGCTCTTTTGAGGAAGAAATGGCTTTAGAGAATAAAAATCATGCTTGGCATAGGCGGACAAGAGAAAACTTTAGGGAGAGCATGGCTTCATTGCCTCTGTGTGCTGTTTAATAACTCACAGGAGGAAGAAAAATGTGATGCTATACCTGATCCACACTTCTGCCAGGGTGAGATGGGGCATCATGATCTCAATTTTAGCCAATCAAATCTGAGATAGTGAATATGTTAATCTACTTTCTAATGCTTAGGGCTTTGCTCACTTTGGATACTCACTTTAATACTCATGTGATAGAACATACAAGATGCTCATGGCATCCACTCCTTCACACAGGCCTGTATTTTAAAGCCATAACAATAGATGACATTTCTTCAGTTTTTAGACTTCGGGTAATAGTTTTGAATATAGCTGTTTCTTGCTATATCATGTAACATCCCCTCTTCTTCCCCAATAGCCCTGGCCTTCTTCTAGCAGATGGATTATTCCTTAACCTTTATCATCGTAATTATTTATTCCTATGGACATTTCTTGACTATGCTAGGCTTAAAATTTGCTCATAATCTAGTTACCTCCGATCATGGAATTATTTTATCCCTTAAAGGGCCTCTAAATTTTGACTCTTACTTTTGCTTCTTTTCTATTAATTTATTCTTTTCTCTAATTTCTGATCTTTGTTTTTTCTCAACCTCATAGCACATTCAGATTTCATAAAAATTTTATCTACTTCTTTTCTAAAACATTTAAAATGTATTAAAAGTACTTGATGAAAGTAATCATCTCTTTTTGATGCTACGTTAAGTATTTCTACACAATAGTATTATTTTTCTTATCATTCTATTGCTGGGGCATGTGACTAACACTTTCTGAGCTTGTATTTTTCTATTAGGCTTATTCACAGTAAGAAGTATTATTTGAGGAAGTGTATTTAAATCCTTGTAATAAAGTCATTATGAATGGCATTTCCTTCTTAATATAAATTCATTGGTCAGTGATCTGGGTGTTTGAGTATTGGGTTTATGTATAAAGTATAGATAGGTATATTCTCAACTGATCATTTTTGGACTATTAGCATGAGATATAGTTGTTGAGGAGTCTAGCCAAGAATTAGTGAACTCTGAGTGTAGACAAACCATATGAGAAAGCTGTCCATTTTTCTGATGAAATTATGGAGTTGGTTGCCAAAATTGTGTTATTTTTAAAATAATTTAGTAATAGTTTACCTAAATGTTTCTTTTAAAAATATTATTAGAAATGAATACATGTGTGTAACACTAAATTAAAACATGGCATAAAAAAGAAAATAAGAATCCCCTATTATCTCACCACCTAGAGATAGCCACAATTGATAATCCAGTATGTGTCCTTCTAGACATGTGTATGTGTTATATTGAATCATAAAATCTATATTATTTTCTCTGATTTTTAAAAATATAACAACTTTCCATGTAAATGGACATACTCTCCACCCATCTCTTCCAAAAGAAGGCTTGGGAGAAAGCATGACAAGAATCCTTGCACTACTTTCTAGACATGTGTGAACAGGATATGTTTTGGGAGTGTTTGATTTCTATTTTTTGTTGTAAACACCATGAAAATATTTGAAAGAAAGAAAAGTCAGCAATTATCCCATGACTCTCTAACAGCTATCATCATTTCTGAACTTTGCTTTTTAATGTGTGGCTTTATGCACACACAATTTTTGCATATTTCCAAATGTTTGTATTTTTTAGCTTAATGTTATAAATATTTCCCTATTTTCCATATATCTCCATAATATCATTTTTAAATGACTATGGAATATTCCATCAAGTTCGTGAATCATAAATAACCGTTTCACTATTGGTCATTCAGAAATTTTCCATTATAGAGAACGTCTTCATGCATATAGCTTTCTCTCTTCTACATATAGCTTTCCTTAGGATAAATTCTCAGCAATTTGTTAGTGGGCAAGAGTCTGAGGAGTTGGTGACTATATGGATGGCATGGCCTCATTGCTCTTTGAAAGTTGTTCTAGATGTTGGTACCTCAGCCTTGTATGAATATGCAAAGCATATTCATGGAGGTTAAGAGCAGCGTCATACTCCTGGGTTCATAACCCACTTCAGCCACTTGTGTCTATGTATCTTCAGGCAAGCTGCTTAAGTCTGTAAGCCTCAACTGCTTCTGTGAAGTGGAGAAAATAATTGAATCTTCTTTAGAGAGTTTTGTAAGGATTATGAGTTTATGAGTCACTTTATGTAGCAGTGCTTAGAAAACAAAATAGAGAATAAACCCTTTCTAGTTACCATGTTACAAAGCAAACCAACATACACATGAACAAATGACTACAATAAAAACCAGTCAGGTGTAAAAATGATACCTTAAGAGTGCTTTAATTTGCATTTCATTGCCAGAAGGAATGAACATTTTTGCATTATTTACTATTTGAGAGGTTATCTTTTTATTAAATTGCAGTTTCTTTTAAAAAATTTGCATCTTTTCTCTTTTACTCTTTATTTTGAAATAATTTCAAACTTAGAAGAAAATGAAAACAAAGAACTCCTATACTGCTTACACTCAGAGACCCTGTTTAAGTTTCACTGACAGTCCAAATGAGGTCATGATTTTTAGCAGAAAAAGAATTTAACTGAGAATGTCGCACTATACTTATTTGTCATGTCTCTTCAGTTTCCTTCAACCTAGAACAGCTCCTCAGTCATTCTGACTTTCATGACTTTAGCATGTTTTAAGATTAGAAGGCAGGTGTTTTGTAGAACACTTTCCGATTTGGGTTTACCTGATGTTCCTCATCTAAGATTTTATTTTTCCTTTTTCTTCTGAAAGCCCCCCAGTACATTGTTGTATATTTTCAGTTATGGGTCCTTCTAGTTGTGGCATGTGGGATGCCACCTCAGCGTGGCTTCATGAGCGGTGCCATGTCTGTGCCCAGGATCCGAACTGGTGAAACCCTAAGCCGCCAAAGTGGAGCGCGCGC